AATTTAATATGCGGAGAATCTTTGTTTTTTCACTTTTTGCTTTTTTTTTGGAACATGTAACGTCGAAAACGAATCTCTCGTTTTATTCAAAGTTTTGTTTATCGTGGTTACAAAATTGATATAACTTGGGAATAAAAAAGTAAATGGAAGACGACGAAAACGATGAGTTAATCTCGTAGGAAGAAATCGATCGTAACTCTTTAGATTTCGAAAGTCACGTGTTTCGTCGCGACAAGATTTCCGCGCCCTTATTTCTACATTTTTATGAACTGTGTATACCGGGCACGAGACATCGAAAACCAATGCCGTACTAACATCACCCTAAAATTCAGACTACGTTACAGGCCACGCGTTCGCGGTGTATTCAGACATTCCTATACGAAATCTTAAGGCAGCATCGTGTGTCGCATCCCGTTTTCAGCAGTAGCACGCTCTGCGGTAGAAAGAGGCCAATAAAACTTGCCCCGTATACTCCCTCGTTTTATCCTCGCCATTCTATTGTACGCAAGGAACAAAACCAGAGCTACACCAACGATATCCTTTTGAAATCGAAAAATATATTCGAAAAAAAGCTGCGCTTTTAAACCTTCGATTGGGGGGAACAAACAAAAATTAGCAACTCGGCGCTATTCGATAATCGAGACAGGGTCAGAGACCATCGATAAAGAAATGCCACGAAGAACGCACATTGTGCGTATATCTCGATATAGGAAATAAAATAAAAAATGGGGAAAAAGATAGAGGAAGAAAAATGGAAAAAGAGGAAAAAGCTTTCGACGAATCGGGCATCCACAAAGACGGGCTTTCACGAGCAATTGCATCGAAAGGTTTCGAACGGGATACCTGACGGTTTGCGTGGTCGGTTTGAGTACGCAGGTGTGCACGCGCAGACGCGCGTTTGCACTGCGTATTCAATGTTTGTCCCGCAAGCATAGAAAGAAGGAAAAAGAGTGCTTTCGATTCAGAATCACGCGGTCGGAAAGAATGTGCATCTGGTCGGCCTGCGACGATTCCAATTACTCTGCTTCACTAGCCAGCACGCAAGAGAGGCGCGGATTTTCTTACGCGAACGTGTGCACGTGCATATGTACATACGTTCTTTCCCTTTTGTCGGCCTGTGTATTTCGTCTTTGTGACGTAAACCGGTGTTTAGCGATACACGCGCTGAATGAACCTCGGCCAGCCACGTTCTCTGTACAGGCAACCGGCAGATATGCAAAGTTCAAAATTAAACACGGAACAACTTCCTTTGTTGGAACGAAAGATTCTCAAATGCTGGTATATATAATAGACGTAAATTTTAGATACAATTGGAAGAAGAATGTTTCTTATCTTTCCATATCGTTGACACAAGTGATTAAGAATCCATAAATTCAGGTGAAATAGGAAATTACAAGAAAGAATAATCGGTAAGCGTCTTGATCTGGCCAGGCGCAAAAGGGACGACTAATTTATAAGAGCGGATAATTTCGGTTTGTACCGAAGGAATCAAAATTTTCCATGCCCTGGAAAAAGAACGACAAAGTAAACATTTATCGCGTAGGAACCGGTATAACTAAAACATTCCACGAATCTCGAAAGCGAGCGAAACTGTATAGAATCGAGTCAGTAGTTCAAGACCGCGGGCTAAACGTCCGATTCTCGACAACCGAGGAAAGAAAGAACACGAATCGAGGGGGACGAAAGGAAACGAAAGGAAATAAAGAATTATTCTCGTTGTCGTCCATTACGAAGCCTTGAAACAGCGAATCAAAGAAAACCACGGGTAAATTCCAACGAGAGGAAAATACGCTCGCAGGAAAGAAGCTTGAAGTGAAATAGACAGTCAGGAAAGTAGTCGACGGAGGTGAAAAGCATCCTTGGTGGTTTCGAAGCAGCCAGATACGGGAGGACTAATCAGGGACGAAAGAGCAAGGCAAGGTAAGCAGGGGAACAAGCAGGCAGGCAGGTAAGGCAGGCTGACAGGCAAAGCAGGTAGGCAAAGCAAGCAGGCAGGCGAAACAGGCAGTCAGGCAGAGATAGGCAGGGAAGCAGGCAGGAAGAGAGGAAGGAAGAGCGCTTGCGCGGAACAAAACCAGAGCTACACCAACGATATCCTTTTGAAATCGAAAAATATATTCGAAAAAAAGCTGCGCTTTTAAACCTTCGATTGGGGGGAACAAACAAAAATTAGCAACTCGGCGCTATTCGATAATCGAGACAGGGTCAGAGACCATCGATAAAGAAATGCCACGAAGAACGCACATTGTGCGTATATCTCGATATAGGAAATAAAATAAAAAATGGGGAAAAAGATAGAGGAAGAAAAATGGAAAAAGAGGAAAAAGCTTTCGACGAATCGGGCATCCACAAAGACGGGCTTTCACGAGCAATTGCATCGAAAGGTTTCGAACGGGATACCTGACGGTTTGCGTGGTCGGTTTGAGTACGCAGGTGTGCACGCGCAGACGCGCGTTTGCACTGCGTATTCAATGTTTGTCCCGCAAGCATAGAAAGAAGGAAAAAGAGTGCTTTCGATTCAGAATCACGCGGTCGGAAAGAATGTGCATCTGGTCGGCCTGCGACGATTCCAATTACTCTGCTTCACTAGCCAGCACGCAAGAGAGGCGCGGATTTTCTTACGCGAACGTGTGCACGTGCATATGTACATACGTTCTTTCCCTTTTGTCGGCCTGTGTATTTCGTCTTTGTGACGTAAACCGGTGTTTAGCGATACACGCGCTGAATGAACCTCGGCCAGCCACGTTCTCTGTACAGGCAACCGGCAGATATGCAAAGTTCAAAATTAAACACGGAACAACTTCCTTTGTTGGAACGAAAGATTCTCAAATGCTGGTATATATAATAGACGTAAATTTTAGATACAATTGGAAGAAGAATGTTTCTTATCTTTCCATATCGTTGACACAAGTGATTAAGAATCCATAAATTCAGGTGAAATAGGAAATTACAAGAAAGAATAATCGGTAAGCGTCTTGATCTGGCCAGGCGCAAAAGGGACGACTAATTTATAAGAGCGGATAATTTCGGTTTGTACCGAAGGAATCAAAATTTTCCATGCCCTGGAAAAAGAACGACAAAGTAAACATTTATCGCGTAGGAACCGGTATAACTAAAACATTCCACGAATCTCGAAAGCGAGCGAAACTGTATAGAATCGAGTCAGTAGTTCAAGACCGCGGGCTAAACGTCCGATTCTCGACAACCGAGGAAAGAAAGAACACGAATCGAGGGGGACGAAAGGAAACGAAAGGAAATAAAGAATTATTCTCGTTGTCGTCCATTACGAAGCCTTGAAACAGCGAATCAAAGAAAACCACGGGTAAATTCCAACGAGAGGAAAATACGCTCGCAGGAAAGAAGCTTGAAGTGAAATAGACAGTCAGGAAAGTAGTCGACGGAGGTGAAAAGCATCCTTGGTGGTTTCGAAGCAGCCAGATACGGGAGGACTAATCAGGGACGAAAGAGCAAGGCAAGGTAAGCAGGGGAACAAGCAGGCAGGCAGGTAAGGCAGGCTGACAGGCAAAGCAGGTAGGCAAAGCAAGCAGGCAGGCGAAACAGGCAGTCAGGCAGAGATAGGCAGGGAAGCAGGCAGGAAGAGAGGAAGGAAGAGCGCTTGCGCGCTGGTACGGCCGGGCTAGACGCGAGAGCCGCCACTCCCGAGCGCGTAGCGGTGTAGCGCGGGTGCTGACCGAGTGTCCCCGTGAGAAGAGCGAGAGAGAGTGCGAGAGCGAGCGAGCGAGCGAGAGTGCGAGAGCGAACGAGAGCGAGGAGAGTGGAGAAGAGAGAAGAATGTCCATCGTGGAAGGAAGGATCCCTAGGAAGCGGAGCCTGCGGCAGGACATCTTCTACGATCAGGCGGCTCCGTGCTTGTAGGACGAAAAGAACGGAAGAGAGGGTTCTCTTCGAAGAGGATCTCGCCGCTATCTCCCTCCTCCACCACACAAGCCCCTTGATCGTTCCCTGTTCCCCAGATAACGTTGGTCCTCGTCCTTTTTCCCCAGGTGAACGAAAACGGAGGAACGAGAGGCTCGTCTCGTCTCGCCGACAAAATTGAACCAGAAGGTGTCAGCCGTCAAAGGAGAGAACGCTCGCGGAAGTAGAAAGCAGTGCGTTTGGAAGGAAAGCTCGCGCCGGAGCATCGCGCGATTTAGTGAACAGAGGAAAGCATCGTGCTCGTGAAACCTGCGTCGCTGGGTTGGAAATAGAAGGCGTGTTAATAATATCGTGGAAATCGACCCGGGGACTATGTATGCGTTAAATCAGTGAGCCACAAAGATAACGAACGCTGGTGTGACACGCCAGCACGTAGTCTGCGAAGCTTCGAAACGAAAAGAGAACGATACAGATCGAGGGAAAGAAAAAGAGAGAGGAAAGTTGTTATATACGTTGGAGAAAGTAGGAAAGGAAAGATCTCGTTGTGATCTAGTGGCGAGTGACAAAGAGGAGAGAGACTACTACTCTCCGCGCGAGAGCTCGAGGAGCACCGGTCTCTCGAGGCTCGGTCGCGAGCAAGAGATCGTGTGAGGTGATTGGATTTCGAGCTGCGATACACAGTGTTTCCGAGGAAACGTCTAACGCGAGTGTCAGTGAAGCCAAGACATCTGGGTGAAATTCAAGTAGTAGCTGACTTTACTAAGCAGACCAGGCTGAACCGTGAATAAAGAGGAAAAAGTACGAGGAAAACGGAGAGAGCGAAAAGCGGACGGAGAGAGCAAGACG